TCTTCTTCTTCTTCATCCTCTTCTTGTTCATCCTCTTCTTCCTCTTCTTCATCCTCTTCTTCATCCTCTTCTTCTTCATCCTCTTCTTCTTCATCATCCTCTTCTTCTTCATCCTCTTCTTCTTCATCATCCTCTTCTTCTTCTTCCTCTTCTTCATCCTCTTCTTCTTCCTCTCTTCTTCTTCTCTTCTTCCTCTTCTTCATCCTCTTCTTCTTCATCCTCTTCTTCATCCTCTTCTTCTTCCTCTTCTTCTTCCTCTTCTTCTTCCTCTTCTTCTTCTTCATCCTCTTCTTCTTCATCCTCTTCTTCTTTTCCTTCTCTTTTTTTCTTCCTCTTGCAGGTCACTGCTCATGTGCAGATTTTTTTATCAGTAAAAAATCGGCCGATTTGCCCATCATTGCCGCGAAAATCGGCCGATCAGCAAAATCGGCCGATTCTTTTTCCAACTTTACCGATAAAAAAAATCTGCCAAAATACCGAAAAACGGCCGAACAATTAGCCCACTAACGATCTGAAAATCAGCCGATTTTATCTTCGGCTAAAAAAATCGGGCCGATTTTCGACCCATCTATGGCCTGCATTAGTTTATTGCAAACTGAAGGCGCCTTTGTGACTTTGGCACAGCTGCAAAATTACCTAGATAGGAAGTAATCAACTACGAGTTGTTCTGTAAATCTGAACTTTACCCCTGAACAACAATGAAAAGCTATTTCCTATGGTCTTATTGACAGGTTTGTGTTATTCTTTTTCTGTTCTGGAACAGCATAGCATACTGTGTTTTTGCAGTGCGCATGCACCAGCACTTACCATCACCCTGAGATACCAGAATTAGGACAGCAGAGTGCTTGGGTGATGTCAGCAATCCCTCCACCATTTATTAGCACAAGATACTGCAGTAGCTGCTAAACCTCTTAATATGACGGAGCTCATGCAATCAACATCTTCACATGTTCAAGATTAGAGATGAGCGAATCGAAGTAGGCGAAGTGGAATTCGTTTCGAATATTAGGAAAATTTCGATTCGCGTCGAATCCGAAAATAAGCAGACTTCGGATGCGCGAATCGAAATTTTTCCTAAAATGGCGGCGACATGTGCGGCGACGCAGCGGGGATGTCTGGGAAGGCGCGCAGACAAGGCGCGCTGACCCACATAATGCATTCATTCATGACATGTGATCGCATTAGCCAATCAGCAGCCAGCCAGCCAGCACAGTGTAATGGTCGAGCTATAAAATGGCGGCCATTTTAGAATTCTCCATTTGCCTCCAGTCATTCAACAGAGGCAGACCTGGCTGTATTCAGGGAGAGAGTTAGGGACAGAGAAACGTTACTTAGGGACACAGAAACGTTAGTTAGGGCCACAGAATCATTACTTAGGGCTACAGAAACGTTACTTAGGGCCACAGAAACGTTACTTAGGGCCACAGAATCGTTAGTTAGGGCCACAGAAACGTTACTTAGGGACACAGAATTGTTACTCAGGGACAGACAGAATTGTTACTGAGGGATACAGAATTGTTACTGAGGGCCACAGAATCGTTACTTAGGGGCCACAGAAACGTTACTTAGGGCCACAGAATTGTTACTTAGGGACAGACACAGAATTGTTACTGAGGGACACAGATTTGTTACTGAGGGCCACAGAATCGTTACTTATGGCCACAGAAACGTTACTTAGGGCCACAGAATTGTTACTTAGGGACAGACACAGAATTGTTATTGAGGGACACAGAATTGTTACTGAGGGCCACAGAAACCGTTACTTAGGGCCACAGAAACATTACTTAGGGCCACAGAATTGTTACTGAGGGACACAGATTTGTTACTGAGGGCCACAGAAACGTTACTTAGGGCCACAGAAACGTTACTTAGGGCCACAGATTCATTAGTTAGGGCCACAGAAACGTTACTTAGGGACACAGAATTGTTACTCAGGGACAGACAAAGAATTTTTACTCAGGGACAGACACAGAATTGTTACTGAGGGACACAGAATTGTTACTGAGGGCCACAGAACTGTTACTTAGGGCCACAGAAACGTTACTCAGGGACACAGAATTGTTACTCAGGGACAGACACAGAATTGTTACTCAGGGACAGACACAGAATTGTTACTGAGGGACAGACACAGAATTGTTACTGAGGGACACAGAATTGTTACTGAGGGACACAGAATTGTTACTGAGGGACACAGAATTGTTACTCAGGGACACAGAATTGTTACTCAGGGACACAGGGAATTGTTACTCAGGGACAGACACACAGAATTGTTACTGAGGGACACAGAATTGTTACTGAGGGCCACAGAACTGTTACTTAGGGCCACAGAAACGTTACTCAGGGACACAGAATTGTTACTCAGGGACAGACACAGAATTGTTACTCAGGGACAGACACAGAATTGTTACTGAGGGACACAGAATTGTTACTGAGGGACACAGAACCGTTACTTAGGGCCACAGAAACGTTACTTAGGGCCACAGAATTGTTACTTAGGGACAGACACAGAATTGTTACTGAGGGACACAGAATTGTTACTGAGGGCCACAGAAACGTTATTTAGGGCCACAGAAACGTTACTTAGGGACACAGAATTGTTTACTCAGGGACAGACACAGAATTGTTACTGAGGGATACAGAATTGTTACTGAGGGACACAGAGAACCGTTACTTAGGGCCACAGAAGAAACGTTACTTAGGGCCACAGAAACGTTACTTAGGGCTACAGAAACGTTACTTAGGGCCACAGAAACGTTACTTAGGGCTACAGAAACGTTACTTAGGGCCACAGAATCATTACTTAGGGACACAGAATCGTTACTTAGGGACACAGAAACGTTACTTAGGGACACAGAATTGTTACTCAGGGACAGACACAGAATTGTTACTGAGGGACACAGAATTGTTACTGAGGGACACAGAATTGTTTACTGAGGGACACAGAATTGTTACTCAGGGACAGACACAGAATTGTTACTCAGGGACAGACACAGAATTGTTACTGAGGGACACAGAAATTGTTACTGAGGGCCACAGAACTGTTACTTAGGGCCACAGAAACGTTACTCAGGGACACAGAATTGTTACTCAGGGACAGACACAGAATTGTTACTCAGGGACAGACACAGAATTGTTACTGAGGGACACAGAATTGTTACTGAGGGACACAGAATTGTTACTGAGGGACACAGAATTGTTACTCAGGGACACAGAATTGTTACTGAGGGACACAGAATTGTTACTCAGGGACACAGAATTGTTACTCAGGGACAGACACAGAATTGTTACTGAGGGACACAGAATTGTTACTGAGGGCCACAGAACTGTTACTTAGGGCCACAGAAACGTTACTCAGGGACACAGAATTGTTTACTCAGGGACAGACACAGATTGTTACTCAGGGACAGGACACAGAATTGTTACTGAGGGACACAGAATTGTTACTGAGGGACACAGAATTGTTTACTGAGGGACACAGAATTGTTACTGAGGGATACAGAACTGTTTACTTAGGGCCACAGAAACGTTACTCAGGGACACAGAATTGTTACTCAGGGACAGACACAGAATTGTTACTCAGGGACACAGAAATCGTTTAATTAAAGAGTATGTCAGACAACATGCAGAGGAGTGGCAGAGGAGGCAATGTTTTAGGAGCGAGCAGACGTGGCAGCAGAGGAAGGGGTCGAGGCAGCACTATTCGCAGCCAGAGGCCAGTGCTCCCGGTGTCATCCAGTTTTTTAAAAAAAACAGTGAGGAAGAGCTAACAGAGGGCGGTCAGGAACGGGGGGAGACATCCGCCTCTTCAGCAGCCAGGCGAAGAAGTTGTTTGGCGAGGAGGGAGTGGCTCGGTAGCCGGTCTAGAGACAGGTCTGTCTCCTGACCCACACGCAGCCGAGGGGGCTAGTAGTGAGGCGGAGACCCTAATTGATGATGATGAGGCTGATCGCACTTGGCAGCCTCGTCGTCATCAGGCTATTGCTTCCGCATCATCAGGAGAAGAGGGTGGCAGCTTGGCAGCGAGCAAAACAGTCGGGTGGGTTGTCTCCATCGCCACACTCTGCCATGTGCCACTTTCAGGTCTCCTCACACACTGCTGGTGTGTTCAATTTTTTGTCATAGGGTGCTGGCAGATTATGGGCCTCCCATAGCTGCTGCCAGGCCCCTAATCTGCCATGGGCCCCTGTTTACCGCCTCCTCATGCTGCTGCCAGGTCCACAGTGTCTCATGCCATGTGCAACTTTCAGGTCTCCTCACACTGCTGGTGTGTTCCATTTTTTGTCATAGGGTGCTGGCAGATTACGGGCCTCCCATTGCTGCCTGCCAGGCCCCTAATCTGCCATGGGCCCCTGTACCACCTCCTCATGCTGCTGCCAGGTCCAGAGTGTTCATGGGTCCCTGTACGGCCTCCCATTGCTGCTGTCTCCATCGCCACACTCTGCCATGTGCCACTTTCAGGTCTCCTCACACACTGCTGGTGTGTTCAATTTTTTGTCATAGGGTGCTGGCAGATTACGGGCCTCCCATAGCTGCTGCCAGGACCCTAATCTGCCATGGGCCCCTATACCGCCTCCTCATGCTGCTGCCAGGTCCAGAGTGTCTCATGGGTCCCTGTACGGCCTCCCATTGCTGCTGTCTCCATCGCCACACTCTGCCATGTGCCACTTTTAGGTCTCCTCACACACTGCTGGTGTGTTCCATTTTTTGTCATAGGGTGCTGGCAGATTACGGGCCTCCATAGCTGCTGCCAGGCCCCTAATCTGCCATGGGCCCCTATACCGCCTCCTCATGCTGCTGCCAGGTCCAGAGTTGTCTCATGGGTCCCTGTACGGCCTCCCATTGCTGCTGTCTCCATCGCCACACTCTGCCATGTGCCACTTTCAGGTCTCCTCACACACTGCTGGTGTGTTCAATTTTTTGTCATAGGGTGCTGGCAGATTACGGGCCTCCCATAGCTGCTGCCAGGCCCCTAATCTGCCATGGGACCCTTTACCGCCTCCTCATGCTGCTGCCAGGTCCAGAGTGTCTCATGGGTCCCTGTACGGCCTCCCATTGCTGCTGTCTCCATCGCCACACTCTGCCATGTGCCACTTTCAGGTCTCCTCACACACTGCTGGTGTGTTCAATTTTTTGTCATAGGGTGCTGGCAGATTACGGGCCTCCCATAGCTGCTGCCAGGCCCCTAATCTGCCATGGGCCCCCTATACCGCAGGCCTCCTCATGCTGCTGCCAGGTCCAGAGTGTCTCATGGGTCCTGTACGGGCCTCCCATTGCTGCTGTCTCCATCGCCACACTCTGCCATGTGCCACTTTCAGGTCTCCTCACATACTGCTGGTGTGTTCCATTTTTTGTCATAGGGTGCTGGCAGATTACGGGCCTCCCATAGCTGCTGCCAGGCCCCTAATCTGCCATGGGCCCCCTGTACCGCCTCCTCATGCTGCTGCCAGGTCCACAGTGTCTCATGCCATGTGCCACTTTCAGGTCTCCTCACACTGCTGGTGTGTTCCATTTTTTGTCATAGGGTGCTGGCAGAATACGGGGCCTCCCATAGCTGCTGCCAGGCCCCTAATCTGCCATGGGCCCCTGTACCGCCTCCTCATGCTGCTGCTGCCAGGTCCAGAGTGTCTCATGGGCCCCTGTACGGCCTCCCATTGCTGCTGTCTCCATCGCCCACACTCTGCCATGTGCCACTTTCAGGTCTCCTCACACACTGCTGGTTGTGTTCAATCTTTTTGACATAGGGTGCTGGCAGATTACGGGCCTCCCATAGTGCTGGCCAGGCCCCTAATCTGCCAAATGGGCCCTATACCGCTCCTCATGCTTGCTGCCAGGTCCAGAGTCTCTCATGGGTCCCTGTACGGCCTGCCCATTGCTGCTGTCCTCCATCGCCACACTCTGCCATGTGCCACTTTCAGGTCTCCTCACACTGCTGGTTCCTGTGTTCCATTTTTTGTGTCATAGGGTGCTGGCAGAATTTTTTATTTCGGGCCTCCCATAGCTGCTGCCAGGCCCCTATCTGCCATGGGTCCCTATACCGCCTCCTCATGCTGCTGCCAGGTCCAGAGTTCTACATTAGGCTCTTGGTCCATCTTGGGTCCCTGTACGGCCTCCCATTGCTGCTGTCTCCATCGCCACACCTCTGCCATGTGTGCCACTTTCAGGTCTCCTCACACACTGCTGGTGTGTTCCATTTTTTGTCATAGGGTGCTGGCAGATTACGGGCCTCCATAGCTGCTGCCAGGCCCGTAATCTGCCATGGGCCCTGAACCGCCTCCTCATGCTGCTGCCCAGGTCCAGGCGAACGTAGTCACACAGAGGGAGGAACTTCTTAGTGTATGAACAGAGAAATCGACAAGGGAAAAAGATGGCTGTCTCCGCGCAAAATGAAAATCGGAACCATGTTGACCGACAACGGAAAGAAAAACATGGTGTCTGGATCTGCGTCAAGGAAGGTTGTGCCATGCGCCATGCATGGCTCACGGTGTTCAATCTGGTTGTCAAGCGGGTTCCTAAAATCCACCATCCCACTGCAAGACATCCTTAAAATGTCACGTAAACTTTGCATGCATTTCAGCCATTCCTACACCGCAAAGCACACCCCTCCTTGAGCTGCAGCGGCACAGGAACGGAATTCCACAGCATCGTACTGATCTGCGACGTTGCTGCAACAAGGTGGAAATTCAACCCTACACATGGTTAGACGCCTTTTCGAACAGCGAGAAAAGGCCAATCACCGATTTCCTGATGTTTACAAGCGGATATAAAGGTACTCCCCTGTGTAACTTCGATTGTCAGCCATTGGCAGCTCATGCGTGGACACCTGGGCCGCGTTGCTCAGGCCCTTTGAGGAGGCCACGCTACTCGTGAGTCGGCAGGGGACTATGGGGTAATGAACGACGTCATTCCTCATGTTGCACGCTTACTGGAACAACTAATGCTGTGTAAAACAATGGTGGGTCAGGGTGCGGTAGACGTGGCGCACTGATCTCAACGGCCACATGCACCCCTGTGGGGGCAGGGACAGGCAAGAAGAGGAGGAGGTAGAGGAGAGACATTGGTGCTCTGGAAAATTATTGAGTGAAATGGGTGGTTTTTCCATCTCAGCGGACAGGAGTGGAGGAGCAGGAGCATCTGGTAGAGGTAGGAGGAGGAGGACCAGGAGACAGAGGGACCCCAGACGCACCGTTGGCAGTATGCTGTGGAGGATGGAGGCAGGGCAGTCCCTCGCATTCCTTTGGCACAAATGGGCCCATAGCATGCTTGCTTGCTTGCGATAGCGACAGCCGAATAAGTAAACCATCAGGACAGAGGGATGACTTTGGCTGTCACCAATTGTTGGACCTACGCTACCGTTCAATAAATGGGTGGCCTTTTTCACACGCTCTGCGGAGAGGGAGGCCAAAATAATCGTACTATAAAAACACTCCTATGTAGTCGCGCTGGTCCTCTGCCTTTCTGCGCCAACAACATCGGTCCATCCTCAGACACTGGTGGGCCCTGTAGCGCTCGCGTTCGCTGCCATGGCAGCAGGGGAAGGGGGTGTGGGGTGGTAGGAGACTCAGTGGCAAGCTCATCAGCTAGCGGCTGCATCTCAGTCTGCAGTCGATGATGAGTAGCGTTCTTCACCAGCGCAGTGAGGAAAATGACTAACAGGCCGCTGCAGGCGAGCAGGCATCAGGTGGACCTGGAGCAGGGACCTCAATACAACAGGCTTAGGCCTACTTGGACAGCACCCTGCCAACCGAGGTAGACAATTCCCCTTGACTACTGGGCAACGAAACTTGACTTTGTCCCCAACTAGCTGAATTTGCCCTTGAAAGGCTGTCATGCTTTTCCGGCCAGGAGGCGTGGCATCGGAGCGCGTGTTTAGTGCAGCATGGAGGTATTGTAACTCTGTGGAGGAGGACACGACTGTCCACCCAAAGTGTGGAGAGACTCACGTTTGTGATAATGAATCAGGCCGTTGGATTAGTTGATTTCAAACCACAGTTCCTGACACAAACTGACTAAATCCGCCATGAAATCATTGCCCTGCCATATGCCCACTTTCACGTCTCTCCTCACACTGCTGGTGTGTTCCATATTTTTGTCATAGGGTGCTGGCCAGATTTACGAGGCCTCCCATAGCTGCTGCCAGGCCCCTAATCTGCCATGGGCCCCCTATGTACGCCTCCTCAATTTTGCTGCATGCCAAGTCCAGAGTCTCTCATGGGTCCCTGTACGGCCGCCCATGGCTGCTGTCTCTCCATCGCCACACTATGACCAGGTGCCACTTTCGAGGTCTCCTCACACATTGCTGGTGTGTTCAATTTTTTGTCTTAGGGTGCGGGCAGAGATTACGGGCCTCCCATAGCTGCTGCCCTAGCCCCTAATCTGCCATGGGCCCCTGTTACCGCCTCCTCATTGCTGCTGCCAGGTCCACAGTGTCTCATGTCATGTGCCAACTTTCGGTCTCCTCACATGCTGTGTAGTTCGCATGTTTTGTCATTAGGGTGCTGGCAGATTACGGGCCTCATCATTGCTGCTGCCAGGGCCGTACTCTCTGCCATGGGCCACCGTACCGCCTCCTTCATTGCTGCTGGCCAGGTCCAGAGGGAGTGTGTCATGGGTCCATGTCGGCCTCCCAATTGTGCTGCCAGGACGGCAGCAGGGTAGCAGCAGTGTTCAGTGGTGCAAACGGCACGGGAGTAGAGCACCAGCTCCCACTGTCAGCCTACCACCGACGGCCAGTCCTATTTTTTGGTTGTCTTGGGGTTAAAAATGTTCGCGTTGCCCATTGTGTGCTTCGGAGGGACTAGAGTAGCAGTCAGTCTGCCAGTGAGGAAGTATAGCTGGGGGTTCAAAGTTTCCTACTCGGCGGTGTGGCAGATTTATTCGTCAAGCCGCTGCGAGGCGAGTAACGTAGCCGTATGTCGACTCCCATGTGGCCAGAAAGTCAAGCGTGGGCCAGGGGGGCCCATGTTGGGCTACAGCGTTGCGTCAAGCATATGCAGCGTCGCCATTGGGGGGTGGTGGCTGGGCAATATCCGTTGATAAAGATACGGGCATGGTTCTGCCTGCCCCAGCCAGGGTTTCCATTTTGTCATAGGGTGCTGGCAGAATCTACGGGCCTTCCCATTGCTGCTGCCAGGCCCTAATCTGCCATGGCCCCTGTACCTGTACACCTCCTCATGCTTGCTGCCAGGTCCACAGTGTCTCATGGGTCCCTGAACCGCCTCCCATTGCTGCTGTCTCCATCGCCACACTTCTGCCAATGTGCCACTTTCAGGTCTCCTCACACTGCTGGTGGTGTTCTTATAAATTTTTTGTCATAGGTGCTGGGCTTGTTACGGCATATTCCGCTCGTTCAGATGCTCCTTCTCCTTGGCTATCTCCTCTTCACGGAATTCCGTCAGCGAGTCTTTTCTTGGAAATCCGTTTCCAAGAGAGACAACAGTTTTGCGAAGCACGCACCCGTCGTGTGCAGAAGCTGAACGTCCTCCTGTCCAAGTTGCTGCTGCCAGGCTCGTAATCTGTCATGCGCCCCCTGTACCGCCTCCGCATCGCCTGCCTGCCAGGTCCAGAGGGTGTCATGCGGTCCCTGTATGGACTCCTCAATGCTGCTGATCTGGCCATCAGGCCCGTACACTCTGTCAATGGGCCCATTGCCACTGTACAGTCTCACACACACTGCTGCCAGGTCCAGATTTTGTCATAGGGTGCGCAATGTACGTCACTCCCATTGCTGCTGCCAGGCCCGTAAGCTCTGCCATGGGCCCGCGCTACCGACTCCCTCATGCTGCTGCCGGAGGCCCGTAATCTGTGACATGGGCCGCCTTAAGCGCCCCCTGCCTTCCTCATGGCTGCGGCACTAGGTCCAGAGGGTCTCTATGGGTCCCGTGTTCGGCCTCGGCCATGTGCATGCTGTCTCCAGGTCCACACGCTGCCATGTTCCCACGTTCAGGTCTCCTCACACCAATGCCTGGTTGTGTGCCAATTTTGTCATGTCTTGGTGCCTGGCAGATCTACGGGACCGCTCCATTGACTGCTGCCAGGCCCGTAATCTGGCAATGGGCCCCCTGTACTGACCCCTTCTTGCTGCATGGCCAGGACACGGAATCGCTGTCATGGGCCCGTGTACCCCAGCCTCGCTCATGCTGCGGGCCAGTCAGGAGTGGCAGGGGCCGCTGTACGCCTCCAGAGTGCTGCGGCCTTCCGAGATCGCCACACGGGTGCAGCTCTGCCCCGTTCCACGGATCTCCGTCAGCAGTAATGCTGTGGAATCCGTTTTGTCATGATGACTGGCAGATTACGCGAGCCGCATCCATTGAACGGCTGCAAGGCCGGTAATCTGCCATGGGCCCCCGTACCGACTCCTCATGCTGCTAGCCACACGCCCGCTAATCTGTCTTGGCGCCACTGTACCGCCTGCCTCTTGCTGCTGCCAGGTCCTGAGGGTGGTCATGGGTCAACTGGTACCGCCTCCCATTCATGCGGTCGCTGTCCAGTCACAGTACGGCTGGCCATGTGCCACTTTCAGTCCTCCTCCACATTGCTGGTGCCAGTTGTCCCTGAGTTTGTGCATAGGGTCGGAGTGATGACGGGCCTCCCATTGCTGCTGCCGGCCTGCCCGTTAATTTCTGCCATGGGCCCTCACGTACCTGAACTCTCTCATCCTGCTGCAGGGCCCGTAATCCATGGTCATGGGC